CTCTTTCTGCATTTCACTTAACGATCGAGAAGCGCCACCATGATTCCTTTTCACCCAACAAACCCGAAAGTCATCAATGTCCAAAGACACCAAGTCCATGTAAGTCATTTCACCAAACACCTTCGCAGCACCACGATTTTTATGAGCCTCAATCATTGTACTACAAAAATAAACATCAGATTCAAACCAAATTTGGTGACAGCCACATTATGAATCATAATTGCAAATGTTTTGCACTTTCAAGAAAAACGACCAATCCATTCAATATTGGATGAGAGTTGAAGAGGAGAGGACGGAGATGGATTGAAGATTTGAGTCGGATGAGGTTTCTCAGAGGAAATCACCAAAGTCACGACAAATCTATCACAATAATCAAAGATTACAACTCTATTTCAAAGGTTTTCACTTATTCATGTAATGCTGCAGATTGTTATTTTAAATTCTATCAGACTCTCAAAAATAAAGAACAAGACGCTGAATTGTTTATCACACCTGGAGAACTCAAATTTCAAAATTGAGATTGGGAGGTTATGGGATAAGATTTTTCAATAGGAGCAATCTCAGGCGAACCCATTAATTTCAACGATTCAATTGGTAATCACAATATTGAATTGCTCAAGAGCCTAGTTTTACCTGCTTCTTCCTCTTGTGCTGCAATTGATGTAAGAAGAGTGTGTGCATATGGTGAACTCATTTGGCGATATGAACTTACTTTTTGTTGAAAATTTTGGGATGATGGTGATGGATTGTTTAGGAGGTGGTTGGCGAGGCAAGTGGTGGAGCAATTGAAGACGGCAGTGCGGGTGCCTAGTGATGAAGGTCAGACTATATGGAGTTTTGGGAATTTGGGAGGTTTTCACGTATTAATTACAGGATTAAGAAGTTTAATTAGTTTTAGGGGTACTTATCTAATTTGTTATTTTTTGACTGTACCCAGTCTAATTTTCCCTTTAGTTAAAGGACTCAAAGCCCATTAGGGATGACAAAAAAACTCGTCGGCTCGAAAAAAGGCTCGGGCTCGGGCTCGGTTACAACGAGCCGAGGCTCAGGCCGAGCCTAATTTTTTGCCAGGCTTTCCTCGGCTCGGCTCGAGCCCAAAAAATCTCGGCACAAAAAAGCTCGAATCAAGCTCGAGTTTTTTTTATTTAATTTATAGTTACATATAAACCGTACGAATTTTAATTTTTTAAGTAAAAAAATGTATATTTGACATTAAAAAATAAAAAAACCGAGCCGCCTCGGCTCGACCCGCTAAGGCTCGAGTAGAAAGCTCGGACAGAGCCTCACTTTTTTTGGCCGGGCTCGGCTCCGACCCAAAAAAGCTCAGCATAAAAAAGTTCGAGCAGAACCCGAGCTTTTTTTTTTTCGGCTCGGGCTCGGCTTGGCCTGTTGACATAACTAAAGCCCACTACTTAGCTCTTGGATTTTGCTTTTTCTTTAAATTTTAATAAATAATTTAAAAATAATCTTTGTAAAATTTCCATTAGTTTAATGAATTTATCGACCATTTTGCTGAATTATTCAATATTTTTCATATATAAATTTTTCTTTAATAGAGGAGTGGAATTTTTGAGAAATATTGTTACGAGCTTAATTTTAATTTTTAAGAAAGTTAACTTTACTAATAATTTTATTTAATTCACGTAAGACACTACTTCAAGATAATAATTCAGAAAAAGTTTAGAAAGAGAGAAATGATGGCTTTGACAGAGGTTTAACGATTTCAACTCGAAATCAAATTGAGCAAGAAAGACAACCGTGTTACTGTTACAGAAAAAAACTTCTGTCAAAATAACAGATCAGACACATGGGGGGTGGGCCCCATTTTTTATAATAATATTTTACTCATATGGGGCCCACCCCATGTGAGTATTCTGGCATTTTTAAAACATGAAATAGTTGTGTACAAATGGTTTAATTGAAAGAAAAATACTTTCAAGAACAGTATAAACTACAAGATGTATCGTTTCAATATATTGTGCAAAGTGAGAGAAATTATATAC